TAAAAGATGACTCAAAGACTACTTTACAGGTGTTCCCTGTCAGGGTCATAATTCACTTGTAGGTAGTTGTTTCTTAGGTCTTTTGGCACTATCCCCCAACATCTCAACTACTTCATTCTTGGTGTGTGTGTGCTTAAGGACAGATAACTTAGCCTAGGATAGGAAGAAAGGTAATTCTGCTTCCTCCAAAATTAGGGAGTAGAGAGGGAGAAGAGAAAGGGGAAGTAAAAACCATGCTGATTTTAAAGGAAGCCACAGTGGTAGAACAGCAATGGTTAATATGAAAGCATGAAATGTGCCCCAGTTACACAAATAGAACTGCTTATCTGTGGACCTTTGCTACCTTTCATGGAAAAGTAGGAATGACGCATAAGGCAGTGTCCAAAGCCCAGGGAGCACAACCATAAACAACTGAGTTTTACCCTTAGACTGGCAAGCCTAATTGAGAAACTCTGATTGAAATTTTCCCAGCTAGRTTTCAGAACTGTCATGGATAAATCATTCTTTTTCATTCCATTCCTCCTATACCCTTGTTTTTGATCAGAATGCCAACAGCTGTTATCCTATACCTTTCCCATCATTGTATGTCAGGTTTTTTGGACTCTGATGGCATATATCTTTAGTTTCACAAGTCCATACGTGGGGGATAACAGTGCCCCAGGACTGATAGTTAACAGATTACAAGAAGGTTAATCCATACTTGGTCCGGATATACAGGATATTCTAGAGTTCAAGTTTGTGAATACTGAGATGATACTCTTAGAATTTGAGACAGMTGAAATTATTTCTTGTTTGGGAGGCACATGAACTCTTAGGGACCACTGTGAGAGGCAAACCTCAAGGTGTCTGTCAATGATTTTCCAYCTCTTTAGGTCCATAACTTAGAGGAATCTCATGCTTAAATGTAGGTGGGCACTAGGACTTCCTTCTAGACAAAGAACATGGCACAGCTGAAGGGATATATCACCTGTACTTAGATTACATTGTCTGAGCTTCCATTTTAACAGATAGGAGAAGGAAATTCTTCTACGCTGGATTTGAAGAAGAAAGTTACCATACTGAATGAAGCTCCYGTGGGGGAGTGGGTAAATCTTGTGATGAGGAACTATGGGCAGACTCTAGGAGTTATRAGTGGTCTCTAGAAAACTGACAACAAGAAAACAGAAACTGCCATTCTATAACCAAAAGGAGAGGAATTCTGCCACCAACCCTAGGAGGTTGAAATGAATTTTTTCCCCAGTTATTTTAGACCATTTGTACTACCATAACACAATAACATAAACCATACCATAACACCTAAAAGTGGATAAATTTTGAAGGACAGAAATTAATTTTTTCACCACTCTGGAAACTGGGAAGACAAGAACAAGTCACTGGCATTTGGTGAGGACCTTCTCGATTGTTCCTCTCATGTCTTCAAATAGTGGTGAAGCCAGAATTAGACAGGCAGTCAGTATAGATGGGTAAATCAAATCAGATCGGATCAGGGAGGCCAATTTGAGTGAGTCCAGGAAGTTGGAGAGGGATTGAAATGCTAATGTCTTCAGAGGCTTTCCTCCACCCTTATCAAGATAACCTGCTCCTGCTCCAACTTATTGTTAAGGTAACCTGTCCCAGGGATTGTCCCTCCCTACAGGGAGTTGTTAATAATGCCCTGTTCCTCCCCAGATCACACCACCTTGGCCCCCTCATCTGCTTCACACCTTTTGGCCATCCCACCAAGCATCTCYTGGACCTAGTCACTTACCCAGGAAGGCCATGTGGGGAAGAGAGCAGAGCAAAGGACGCCTAGGACATATGAAAAAGACAGGATGCTCTCACTTCCCGGGAGGCCAGGATACCAGCTATGGCCCCCTTCTCCCTCCTGGAGAAGTCTGTGTTACCCCTTTTTAAATAAACCCTGGCTTTATATGCTTGCTTTGGAGTGCTTTTCTAATGTTATACTTCAACATGTGAGGGAGCAGAACTTGTCACCGGTAACCAGCAGTATCAGTGGGAGACAGAAGAGCAAACAGGCAAAAGAATGCCAAACTAGCCCTCAAGATGCTATCACCTCCCAAATGTAAATGTTACATTTTTCTCTCTGAAGTTGCTACTAACTGAAAAACCTGTTAGCTTTGCTAGTTGGATTTATTCTACTAAATGAATCCTAAACTCTGCCTTCTATAAAGCCCTCAGGTATGGATACAATTCAGCAAAGTTCTTTGGCCTTTCCTCTGGTGCCCAATACCTTGTTCCACATTTCCACCTGAGACTTCACAGAATTGCCTTTATCATCCATAAATCTACCAACATTCTCATCAGGACCAAGTAAGTCATCTCTAAAAAGTTTCAGTCTTCCCCTACAATTCTTCTCTTCATCTGCCCTCACCAGAAAGGCCTTAATATTCCATTCATGGAAATGCAGGCTTTCTCTAGCCTCTGCCTCCAAGTTCTTCCACCTTCTGTTCATTATTCAGTTCCTACGCCACATTTTTAAGTATTTTTCATAGTAACATTTTACTCCTCCACACCAATTTCTGTATTGGTCTATTCTGTGTTGCTGTAATTGAACACTTCAGATTGAGCAGTTAATTCTGAACAGATATTTGTGAACTTCCCTATCACCAGACCTAGAGTGTAGGACTCCAGTCAGAACAAGTGGTGTCCTTGACACACATGGAAAAGAATTTCAGTACACACCAGTCTGAGACACAGAAATGTATTTAGGAAAGCAGATAATTATTCATGGGAGAATATTGGCTGTGGGAAAACTTTTGTACTAAAGAAAGGAATATACACTCAAGAGAGAACATGGGCCATTTCCAGAGGGAGAGACACCAACCCCTTGGGTAGGTATGTTGATATTTAGAGGGGACAGTAGCTAAAGGCAGAACAAGAGGTAGCTATAGGGTGGAGTTAACACAATTTGACACCAGCTTTCATGGTGCCTACCCATCATGTTACTTTTAGCAGGCAATGAGGCTGACCAAGGACTAGAGCTAAGGACATGGACTGGATGGCTTATTGTTACTTGTTTTCCATTTCAAGGTTCATGGATGTTTCCTATATTCCAAGGGTTCTTGGTTACTTTCTTTTTGCTACTCGGTAGATCTTACTGGGTATTCTGTACTCCCAAATTCCTATTTCAACAGCTGTGGAGGCTCGAAAGTAAAAGATCCAGGGATAAGACTCTGGAAAGAAGCTTCTTGTTATATCATCACACATAGAAGAGAGAAGGGCAAAAAGGCAAAAGAGTGTCAAGCTCTTGCTTTGACAATGGCATTAATCCTGCCCATGAGGGTTCAGTCGTCATGACAWAATACCCTCTCAAAGGCACAATTTTTTAATACTGTGAAATCAAAATTGAATTTCAGCCTAAGTTTTGGAGGGTRCAAATGTTCAAAGCACAGCAGATGGAATGCCTATTATATCCATCTAATAAAGACATGAAGACAAAACTAAGGGACACCTGGTAGTGTTGCCAGCATCCTCGGCAATAGGACTGACTCCAGGGGCCCAACAAACCAGGTCCAGCCACTTGCCCCAAATACCAAGCAGAAAATGTAATGGTAAAAAACAGGAAAGAAAACTTTAATCAATAGCCATATTGGGAAGGCAAGGTGAGATCCAGCAGTCTCAACCCTTCTTTCAACTTGCTAACATGAGCTTCAGGTTTAAATAGGGAAAGAATTGAGGTCTGGTTGATTATTCTCTCATTAATGATTCTTTGAGGAGGCAGCTCCAGAAATGCCCTTATCAACTGAGGGAGCAATCTGCACTTGATGCTCAGTATGTTTGTCTCCCAAGCATGTGTTCCTGGAAGCGGGTGATGATTGAAGTTCTCCAGGCACCATTCCAGGTGTCTGAAACAGGCTGCTACAAATCTCCCTGCAAATATGTCTGACCACAGCATTGAAAGGTGCTGAGACATATTTTATATAGGCCTAAATAACCTTGTATAACTAGTTTTTAAATAAACACTCCTTAAATCATTAACATAACACCATGCAGAGCTGAGCAGAGACCTGACCAAAGCTTAAGGTAACAAGGAGTCAGATACCAAATGAAGGCACAGATATCCAGCTTTATTCTGCTTCTTGTTACCAATGGGGCAACTTTACACCTAGGAGAAAACTCATTGCTTTTAGCAAAGTCAGCTTTCTGATTCCCTGTTACAGAAGAGTTAGGATGAGATTAAAGACAAATTTAAGAGAATAAATTGAAAAGACATGGTGTACTAAATTTACATTAATAGGAAGACACATGGGTAGAATACCAATTAGCTAAGTATGGTACTGACATTGAATGGGAAAATACTACAGGAACATGTGAAATCTCATTTCATTTGTTGTCCAAAAAGAGTGAGTGAGGTAGTCAGCATAACACCACCCCATGCACATTATGCTGCCCCATTGCAACATTGGTTATAGGAGTTCCTTGTATTGCCATACAGAGAGGACTTGATATATAAAGTTGTCCATGTAATAGAAAGATGATATTAAAAGGGGAAGATGAAAAACAGGAAATCAGTGACAATCATAAACTAGGGTAGAAATGCCATTAAAATACAAGACAAAAAATACTAAATAACCTAAGAGGTCAAACAGAGATAGGAATGAAACCAGTCAATATAGTTCGAGGGTATTGCTCTTGTTTCAAAAATAAACCATCAAGCTACCAAACCTAAGCATGTTCTCATGCTCCAACCCTCAGTCTCGAGCTTTCCAAGTAGTTGATTGTGTGTGATAGAAAGGGCCAAAATCAGGCTGTTAAGTCGCAACTCACCATGGAAAATAAAAAGCCAATCTATATTGAGAACACAATGATGTCTACCACCCCCACAAAAAAAATGGTTTTTAAATATATACACAAATATATGTAAATATCAACAGTTAAACAGGGGACAAGAAGGACTTGGACTTGCATCACTAATACATTCACAATTTTGATTATGTGGCAGATACTTCCTAAGGTCAGGACAGAGTCAAGAGTAACTGAGTGTCTGTTTTCACAAAGCCATGGCCACAACAGAGTACACCTCAGATGAAGCTCTGCTCCGAGACAAAAGGAGTCAAGATCTCCAAGAAATGCCAAGAGAAGTAGGACTGGATGTTAAGTACTGATTGCACAAACTACAGGAAGACCTGGGTGAGACCYGTGCCCAAGCCTTACAATATTTAACAGGAAAAGACTTCCAGAAGCTGATCCCAGGTACAACATCTATGGGAGAAAACGGCCCTGGAGAGACTGCTTGACCTGTCCCATTTAAATAGTCTTCCAGAGTTCTAGAAGTCACCAATGGAGAGGATAAAGAGAAAGMAGAAGCAGGCAGAGCAAGCCTGTAGGAGCTGAGGAACTTGCTCCCAGAAAGGAGGCAGAGACAGGAAGAGACAGTGAAGAGAAAAGAAGCAGAGCTGAGGCAAGCCACGGAGATCCCTGAAGAGTACTGGCCAGTGCCTGAAAGGCCCTTACGGGCAGTCATGGAAATCATGCAGAGACAATTCAGTCCCATAAAGCAGACACTGACCCACAGGCAAACCTCCCAGATAGAGATCTATAAGATGGGTATCAGGAGGGCTGGCCCTGCAAGGAATTTGCCAATCATGCAACCAAAAGGACCTGATACAAAAGAGAGAGGAGCTACTCAGTGTTCCCAGTAATTTTTCCCTCTTTAGCCCTCAACAAAGCACAAGAATGGAAACAAAAAAATTTATATCTTTTCAAGAAGAATCCATGTTCACCAGATTGTATAAAAATGTAAGTGCTTCCACCAAGGCTAGAGGCTGGGGGATTCAACTAGAGACTGGAATGAATAAAAGCAAGCATTGAGAATCCAAGGAAACCCAACAAGCAAGTTCTGAGCACTCTTCTTTATGCTCGACTAAATTCAGTTGTGTCCCCCTGGCCTCTTGCCACTCTCCCATTGATGAGCATCCATTCTCCAAGCCTGCTCTCCAAGAATGTGAATACAACAAAGGCCTCTTGGATGAGAATGCAGACACAGACAGATTCACCTTGCTGAAGCAGAGGACTGAGAACAACTTCCCCAGGTTTGGTTCTCATGTTAACCAAGGCTCTCTGCACCTGGGAGGAATCTACAGGTGGAAGGTTGTTTCAAAGGGTTTGCAAAGTGACCAGCTGGCTGATGTGAAGCAGCARGTAGCAGTTGTCCTGAATATTACATATGGGACAGCTACAGTGGCTTTGGAGTGGGAGTTGCTACAGGTATGAAGGTTTCAGACTCATATACAAAAAGAGCTTCTAAAAGCCCAAATTTACAAAATCTCAAACCAAGATCCAATTATCTGTGGTCCAGAGAGGTGTCCACAAGAAGCAGATGGCCTCATCCAGTGGAAAGCTGGCCTTGTTGTCAGTAATCAAACTTGGTGTGGGACTTCAGGTGGTGCCCATTTGGGACTTCATCCTCTCCAGCCACAGAAGTGATTTTAAAGATCCCCTTAAGGTAGCTAACTGCCTGAAAGACAACTAAACTGCTTTGACTAACCTTACTGCACAGATCCAAGAGGGAACTGAATTATTTAGTGCTGGGAAGGAGGCAAGAGTTTTCTAGGATGATGTAAAATTCTGGCAAATATCTGATCCTCGGGAGCAACTTCAAAACCTGATCAAATTCATGCAAACACTGAGTCAAAAAATAAATCATTATGGCACTTGGATTAACATATGCCTGACAGACTGGGATCTGCAGAATTTCCTAGTAAACACTGTCAATTTTAGCAAAAATTATTTCAGACATAAAATTACATTTATTAAATCACAGTTGTGCAGCCTTCTGGATCCCCAGGTCTACAAAGTGACACACTTTCCTCCGGTTCACTCCATTATGCAATGGATCTACCAGTCAAAGTCACAGAAAGAACAACTCAAAATCTCCCATTTTCTGAGTTCATTAACATTTTAAAGGAAACCCAGAATGAACTCTTCGAGGTGAATGTTAAATGTGAAATGCAAGGTGTGGCTGGGGTTATAGCTCAGCAGTATAACGCTTGCCTCACAAGTGTGAGGCATTGGGTTCGATCCTCAGCACCACATAAAAATAAATAAAATAAATAAAGTAAAAATATGTGTCCATCATTTTAAAAACTCCTTAAAAATGTGAAGTGCAAGAAACAGTGGAAGAAGCTCAAAGAAAGGCCACATATGAGGTAAACTTAGCTCTCAGCAGTTTCTTGAATCACCTCCAAGCAGCAAGGCAGCCAGACACACAGGTCTTGCTACTTTCCAGTGCAGCTGGTGCAGGATATCCTGTGGTAAGCATATTTTTCATCATCTTCTGGGGTGTGATAAGTTGAACTTCCTGCTGGATTTAATGCAAACTGCTTACAATAAATACCAAGACATCAAAAATATTTCTAGCTCCAGGGCCCACACATTCCTGGTGCTCACAAGTCCAACAGGCACAGCTGGAGTCAGAGTTTTTCTCCAGAAGAGAAGACACAATGCATGACACTTACGAGACAACACATGGGGAAATKATCATCTAAAGAAATTGCACATGTCCTCATTAAACTTGGAGCAGATCATGATTGGAAAAACCTAGAGAGAGACTTGAGGTTACTCATTGATGGCGATTATGAAGCCACCATCTCTTCTTTGCAAATGGGCAAGTTAAGAAAGAAATTGGAAATTCTCTTCCATGGAAAGAAATAGTCCCAGGAAACAAATGATAATGAAAATAACAAATGGGAGGTGATAGAAAATGAAGCCATTCTAAACTCACTACAGCATCTAAACCTAGAACATTACTACTCAAAAAGGATGAGTAGAGCTAACTTCCATCTGATCTACAAGAATTCTGTGTACAACATCAAGCCCAAATTAGAAGAGAAACTTCTCATCTATTTCCTTCAGAAGCTACTAATGCTGGATTATTGACTTAGATTCCTGGTCTTCACAGATGATGAAAACATAGAACATCAGGTCTCTCCAAGTGCATCTAATCAGGAAAATGAGGCTTTTGATCCTTGTGAAGATCCTTTTTTGAAGATGGAGATATTCTCACTAATACTTTTCCCATTAATCCCAGACCCCACATTCACCCCATGGATATTCAAATGGCCACTTTTCACTGTGCAGATGATTTTGCCAGACAATATATTTGGGGCAAACTATCCACCCGTCAATTTGTCCTGTGCCTCCTGGTGCAAAATTCCTGCACTTCTCAAATTGAATTCACTCTTTCACTCTCTGGTCTCTCAGACAAATTAGGAGAAGTTGGCAGCAAGCAAGAAAAAATCACCACAAGGGAAGCACAGTCACAAGAGTCATCAGATGTGTTATGTCTCCACCCCTACTGTGTCCTTCATTAGAGTTGACAATGGCCTGTGTGCTTCCAAGTCTCAGAACATGAACCATCTTCTTAGTAAACATCAATATGATGTATTTTCCACAACACTGCAGACAAAGCAGCAAGAACCGCTTCTTTAAAAAAAATAATTCATTCATTGATTCTAATTAGGTATATATGACAGCAGAATGCATTTTGATTCATTGTATACAATTTCACCACAACTTTTCATTTCTCAGGTTGTATACAATGTAGCCTCACTCCATATGTGCAGTCATACATGTACCTAGGGTAATGTTGTCTTGTCTCATTCCACCATCTTTCCTGCCTCCATACCCCCTCCCTTCCCCTCCCTCCCTTTGCCCAAAGTTCTTCCATTTTTCCCATCCTCCCTTATTATGGATCAGCACCCACTTATCAGAGAGAACATTCAAGCTTTGGTGTTTTGGGATTGGCTTACTTTGCTTAGTATGATATTCTCCAACTCCATCCATTTACCTGCAAATGCCATAATTCTATTCTCTTTGAATGCTGAGTAATATTCCATTGTGTATATATACCACAGTTTCTTTGTCCATTCATCTATTGAAGGCATCTAGGTTGCTTCCACAGTTTAGCTATTGTGAATTGAGCTGCTATAAACACTGATGTGGCTGCGTTACTACATTATGCTGATTTTAAGTCCTTAAGGTATAGACCAAGGAGTAGGATATCTGGGTCAAATGGTGGTTCCTTTACAAGGTTTCTTAAGAATCTCCATTCTGCTTTCCAAATTGGTTGCACTAATTTGCAGTCCCACCAACAATGTATGAGTGTGCCTTTCCCCCCACACCATCACCAACACTTATTGTTGTTTGTATCTTGATAACTGCCATTCTGACTGAGATGAAATTATAGAGTAGTTTTAATTTGCTTTTCTCTAATTACTAGAGATGTTGAACATTTTTTCATACATTTATTGATCAATTGTATTTCTTCTTCTGAGAAGTGTCTGTTCAGCTCCTTAGCCCATTTATTGATTGGGTTGTTTGGTTTTTTTGGTGTTAAGTTTTTTGATTTCTTTATATATCCTAGAGATTAATGCTTTATCTGACGTGTGGGTGGCAAAAATTTGCTCCCAAAATGCAGGCTTTCTCTTCACCTCATTGATTGTTTCTTTTGCTGAGAAAAGGCTTTTTAGTTTGAATCCATCCCATTTATTCATTCTTGATTTTATTTCTTGCACTTTAGGAGCCCTTTTAAGAAAATTGGGACCTAACCCAATGTGATAAAGATTTGGGCATACTTTTTCCTCTATTAGGCGCAGGGTATCTAGTCTAATTCTTCAGTCCTTGATCCACTTTGAATTGAGTTTTGTGTATGGTGAGAGATGGGGGTTTAGTTTTATTTTGCTGCATATGAGTTTCCAGATATCCCAGCACCATTTGTTGAAGAGGCTATCTTGTTTCCAATGTATGTTTTTGGCGCCTTGTCTAGTATGAGATAACTGTATTAATGTGGGTTTGTCTCTTGTGTCTTYTATTCTGWACCATTGATCTACATTTCTATTTTGGTGTCAATTCCATGTCATTTTTTTTACTATAACTTTGTAGTACAGTTTAAAATCATCAGTTTTACATTAATGAAGAGTAAAGTCCAAGTTCTGTATTTTAACCCAACTAGTAGTTACAAAATTATGTTGCTATTTTCCCTATCTGTATTTTATTTTCTCTAAATATTATTTTTAAATAAAGTAGAATGAAAACAGTAAATCTAAAAAAGAGGGTGAGAAACACAAGGAATTAAGGCAGAAAAAAAGAGCAATATAAGGTTGCTTTAACAACAACTATCTAATGTTGCCCAATATCATAGTTATTTTTATATTTTGTGTGCAATCAGAGGTAATAGCATAAATTGGGGAAGATGGGAACCAGGCCATTTTCTCCTGGGAACAACACCCCACCCCCATAGTTTAATTATCTTTCTTTCTTTCCCATTGAACTAGAAAAACAATCATGTTTTTCTGGTGCCTTACACTCTGAGTCTTGTCAGCTCCACTAGGGTAGAACAGCAGTGCGCCACCCAGATCCTCCTTCAAGGAAGGACTGCTGCCCAGCTGAGGGGAGTGAAGGAAGCAGCCATTCATAGGTTGTTACACCTTTCACATCTACCTCACTTGCAGAAAGCCTCTTTGCCTGAGTTCATGCTCTCCTGGACAACTTTTATTCAGTGATTGAGTGAGACACAGAGTCCCTGCCATGTTGGCCTGACACAGGATACTCTCTCTGATAGGCCCCCTCACTCCAGTGTTCTGCCTGTTTCAAGAAGGTTTCTGAGATCTACATCACAGTTCGCTTTCTACCTCTGACATATCCTATTTCTGTCCCCTTCTTTCATAGGTGTTGATCCCTAAGAAATATCTTGCATACTTTTTCAGAATCTGCTTCTGGAAAAATTGGTCATTGACATTCCTGTAGGTCTTGGTAAAGATTGTCATGTCCAGATGGATTTGAACAATGGTTGTGCATAATAAAGATGCAGCGCAAGAAGAAAATAAAGGCTACATAATATTCTCTTTCCACCATCGGTAGAAATGGAGCATCGTCTTTTCAAGGGGTGAGAAAATGCAAGTCTTCCAGAAATGACTAGCAGGGAGGAAAGTGAGCTAGTCACCTTTACATTACCATGACAAAAATACTTGACAAGCACAATTTAGAGGAGGAAAAGTTTGTTTTAGATCACAGGTTCAATGATTTAATCCATGGTGGGCCAGCTTTAATGCCCTGGGACCAAGGTGAGGCAGAACACCAAGGCAGAAGGTTGGGGTGGAGGAGCACAGCTCTGCTTAAGGCAACCAGAGAGCAGAGAGAGAAAGGGAGAGGGGCTTCATGGATCATGAACCCTGCCAGAGCACACCCCGGTGACCCACCTCCTCCACACAAGCCCCACCAGCCTGCAATTACACACAATTAGTCCATTCAAACTTCGATGRACTGAGTAGGTTACTGTTCCTATAATCTAATAATTTCACCTCTGACTATTTCCTGCACTGACACAGGAAGTTTCAGGGGATACCTGGTGTCCAAACCAAAACAGGACCTCAGCCCTGTTGAAAGCATTAAAGAGGAGCATGAGATGTAGCAGTCTTGTGGGCAACTCATTAGTCAATGGTAACCAGAAAACTGGTGGTTTTCAAAAAAGAGGTAAAACTTATGGGCTAGAGCTAAAATAAACATTTCCCCCATGGTCTTTGAAATGGGGGTGGGGTAGTCAAGAAAAGGAACCTAGTTCTATCAAATGAATTCCTTAGAAATGAGAGGGAGGTAGATTGAGCCAAAACAAGAAGATTTAATTGCCTTGGTCCAACATGCTTCAGCCTAGAAATTTTCCTGGCAGAGTAAAAGCTTCCCATCCWATGTACTAAGGAGACACCTATAGGGGCAATTAGAGATTCTGAACTTCCATCTGCCAAATTAAATCTATAAAGTTTACCCAAAGACTTTCTTGCACCAGCTCATAGTTTTCTGGATCTCTAGAGACCCAATATGACTGGAAAACAGGTTCTTCTGGCACAAAATGTTATCCTTGGGAGCAATTACTGGTCTTAGTAAGAGCATCCTGAAAACATGAATTTTCCTTGCTCTTTTCCTACCTTCAACCCTACAACCACCTCCTATGGCCTCCCATCTTATTACTAAGGGCTTTGTCATCTAGCTTCTGGTTAAAGTTTCATGAAGTTGCAGGCCTTCTCTTACCAGCAGGTGGTAACAAGCCTTATTAGATTCCAAGATACCTTGATCTCAGTACTGTCAACATTTAGGGCCAGACAACATTGTTGTGGGGGACTGTCCTGTGCATTATAGAATGCTTAGAAGCATCCCCAGACTCTATCATTAGATGCAGGGAGCACTCCCAAMAGACATGACAACCAAAAATGTCTGTAGCCATTGCCAAATATTCCTGAARCATTTGTATTGCCCCAATTGAGAACCATCATTCAGTGAGACCCTAATGAAAATAAAATAAATAAACTTTGATGACGTTTAATTATTTTGTTATTTTTTGAATAAAGAACATGCATTTTGTTAAAACAAAAACATTTTAAATGTGGAAAAATATTAAATATCCCACCTTCTCAAAACATTTCAATGGCCATCCTCCCAGGCACATGGACTCAAGGATAAAAGCATACAGTTTAGCAAGGCATAGCATACACACTCTCCTATAATCCCATTTCCTCTAAAAATCTMTTATGGACATATTTCTAGGCCAACAATTATTGATCTATTTAAAAATTAATTTTAATGCCTATATCCTATGTTAATAGGAATTAACTAGGTTCTTAAAGGTAGGCAAKGGAAGTTTCCCGATTTTCACTACCATAAAATAGCAATTCACAGTCAATGTGGCCTACATATCTAGAATTTTGACAGGACACAGTTTTATAGTATGATTGAGACATAGCTCTTCTTCAAAGATGTACACAAACTGATGGAAAGAATATGAACACAGACAGAATAAAATGTGATTAGTCACCTTGAAATACAAGGTATAAGTGTTGGCAAAAGATGAAGAGATAACTGCTTGGGGKTCAGGGCTGTCTCCACAGACATGAGTCTAGAAGGCAGCAGTGTAGAGGTCTCAACTTCTTCTTCAAGGATGGTGCTTATAACAATAGTGTATTTAAATGACTATTTCCCCTATGCCTTGCTCCTTACATGCAGGCCACGGCCAGCTTTTTCTTCCTTATATGTCCTATACCTGGGATGATCATTAGGGCCT